AGTTTCATTTTACACTTGGAGTAAAGTCCAAATTCCTTAACATTGCCCACAAGGCCTTCTAAGGTTTGATCTGAACTACTTTCCAGCCTGACTTTACACCCCCTTACTTTCTGTGTTGCATTTTATACTTTATCCTTGCTGAACTTTTTTCAGTTCCTCAAACTACTATAATAAAAGAAGTTAGAATAGGTGCTATGGCAGTTTCTAAACTCTTAGCTCCATTTCTGTACTTGTCTCCGATACATTTGTGAACGAGCACAAGTCTTTGGACCACATTTTGAGTAGCTTTGAACTACAGTACACACATGGATGAATTTTACAAATGAAATATTGAATGAAAAAAGGAAGTTATGGAAGACAACACACAGATAATACTTTTCTAAAGCTCACAAATAAGCCCAGTTAATTTTGTTGTTTAGGGATGTGTGACTGTGACTGTGGCATAAAACTAAACGAACTTCAGGAAAGTGCTTCTGTGGGAAGAAGGATGGGGTAGGAAAAAAATGCACAGATGCAGTAATGTTAATGGTAGTGTTCTAATTTTTGGACTGGGTGCTAAGTCATCGGATCAATTTTATTATAATGCTTCATAACATATATTGTGTATATTTTCTTGTATATGTAAAAAAACTAAATTCTAAAGTTAATATTGAAATTAAAACAATTATGGTAGAATATTAGTGGATAAGTTCTTTTTTTTTTTCTTAGTGTATCAATCCTAGAAGAAGACAAACACAGAGCAAGAGTCCCCAGTGCCACATTTGTAAACAAACACTGTATTCATTATTTCAGTGGCTGGGGAAGTTTTGGTAAGAAGCAAGCCTTTCCTTTGACTAGAAAGAAGCAAAGCCATAAACACCATTTTTTAAAAACTCAGACAATAAAGTAGTAGAAGCCATTTCAGAAAGTATAACATAATGGCATCTAAATTTTATATGAGGCAATTAGGTTGGATAACCTTTTTCTTCGTGTTTCTAAAAGCAACCAACAAGAAAAAAAGAAAAAGTATTGCAGTGAACTTAAAGAATACTGACAGTCAAATACTGACAGTTCACATTCTCTTGGTTGGGAAATGTTTGGAAAGCTTTCATTGAGTGTCTTAAAAAAACCAAAAAAACCTCAGGAGATACTGCCTTTGAAGCTCCAACTTGTGACAAGAAAGTAACTTTGGAGGTTTTCAACCCAGGCTGCACATTAGAATCACCTGAGAACTTTAAAAAAAAAAAGGGGGCGCCTGGGTGGCTCAGCCGGTTAAGCGGCTGCCTTCGGCTCAGGTCATGATCCTGGGGTCCTGGGATCGAGCCCCACGTTGGGCTCCCTGCTCAGCGGGGAGCCTGCTTCTCCCTCTCCTTCTGCCTGTCTCTCTGCCTACTTGTTCTCTCTCTCTCTCTGTCAGATAAATAAATAAAATCTTAAAAAAAAAAAGAAAAAAAAATTTCTATTGAGGTGAAATTCACATAACATAAAATTAACTCTTTTAAAGTGAACAATTCAGTTTGCCTTTTGTATAGTCACAATGTTGTGCCAGCAGCACCTTTGTCTAGTTTTCAGAACATTTCCATCACACCACAGTAAAACTCCTTACCCATTAAGCTGTTAGTTCCTATTTCCCACACTCCCCAACTCCTGGCAACCCCCAGTCTGCATTCTGTCTCTAAGGATTGATCTATTCTGGACATTTCATATAAATGGACTCCTACAATATGGGACCTTTTGTGTTTGGCTTCTTTCACTTAGCCTCATGTTTATGAAGTTCATCTGTGTGGTAGCCTGTGTCAGTACTTCATTCCCTTTTGTGGTTGAAGGCCATTGTAATTACATATCAGAATTTGTTTATTCATCCATTGATGACAATTTGGGATATTTATTGCCTCAGGTGAATAGTGGCGCTATGAATATGCATGTACATGTACTTGTTGGAATACCTGTTTTCAATTCTTTGAGTATATACCCAGAAGTAGAATTGCAGAGCCATATGATAATTCGATGTTTAACTTTTTAAGGAACCACCAAATTCGTTTACATGGTTGCTGTACTATTTTCCTTTCACTTGGGGAACTCCGAAAATCCACAGATCTAATAATTTTTATTGTATTTTACAAACATATTAGTGTATAGTTACTTGAAAAATTTTTTTAAAAGATTTTTATTTATTTATTTGACAGAGAGAGCACAGCAGGGGGAGCGGCAGGCAGAGGGAGAGGGAGAAGCAGGCCCCCCCGCAGAGCAGGGAGCCGAACACGGGGCTCGATCCCAGAACCCTGGGATCATGACCTGAGCCGAAGGCAGACGCCACCCAGGCAGCCCATTGCTTGAAATATTTAAAAAGATGGATCGTTCACTAAAGAGTTTGAGAAACACTGCATAGTTCATTCATTTAAATTGCCATATAATATTTCACTCAATGAATATACCACTATTCATTCATTTTCTGATGAACTAGTGAAGTGTTTTCAGCTTCTGGCCTTAATGAACAACATTGCTGTGAATATCTAGTGTAAGATCTTCTGGAAAGAAGTTGGCATCAATTCCTAGGGTGTATACCTAAGAATGAAGTAGAATATGTACATCTTCAACTTGGGTAATGCTTTATACTTTATAAACTGTTGTACTATTTAATAATATTAAAATACTATTATTGATAGTACTATTATTACTGTATACTGTACTACTTTATAAACTGCTGTACTATTTTATCTCCCACCATTGCTGCAGAATCTCTATTAAGATTTGATTCGTTCTCTAAAACACACTGCTATTGTTCTCAGGGTTCTGGGGGTTTTGGAGAGAAGACTTAATGAAAATTCCACTTGCTCTAATAAACTTAAGTCTTCAGGTATACAACTTTCACTGGGATATTCCATACATTTCAATGGGAGGGAACAGGCTGTAAAAAAAGAGGCATTGACTGAATCATAGTATGATTCCAGTTTTGCGTTTCAGGCAAGTTACATAAATTTTATAAGCCTAGGGTGTAAAGTGGAGAGAATATCTTTCTTTGATGTAGTTGTTGTTAGTACAAAGTGAATCAGCATGTTTAAAAAGTACTCCACACAGCACCCAATTCATAGTAGACACCATTAAGGTACATATTCATTAAACAAATATTTATTGAAGGTGTATTTTATGTCAGACTGAGACTGGGGATGGAGAGATGAGCAGGATCCCTTCTATATTATATATAATACTGAAAAATTGGAAACAATCTAAATGTCCAGTGTTAAGATTGTTTAATTTTGGTATATTTATAAAATGGAGTGCTATGTAGCCTTTAAACATCATGTTCTCAAACATGGGAAAATGTGGCTATATGAGAAAAAGATTATAAGAGGATTATCCCTGTCTCTTTCATATAGTTTATACATTGCATGTTCATTGAAAAAACTCTAGGGGCACCTGGGTGGCACAGTTGGTTAAGCCTTGGACTCTTGGTTTGGGCTCAGATCTTGATCTCAGGGTCATAAGATCCAGCTCTGCACGGGGCTCTGTGCAGAGCACAGAGTCTACTAAAGTTTCTCTTTCCCTCTCTCCCTGCCCCCCAAGTAAATAAATAAATCTTAAAAAGAAAAGAAAAAATTCTGGAAGGATTCAAGTGGATATACACGTCAGTGCTTATCGTGGTTAATAATTGGTGGTAAAATTGTTTTTTAATACTTCCTTCATATTTTGTCTACCAGATTTTCTGCAGTTGACATACATTACTTTTATAATCAGAAAAAAGGTGTTATCTAAATGAATAGCATAAAGTTGGTAAAGGAATGTTGAGTATAAACCTAACTAAAAATGATATAAAGTTTATAAAGGAATGGTTCATTCAAGGGTTTAATTTTTTTACTAGTTTATGTAGTGATACTTTCTAGAGTCATATTTACCAGAATTAGATAGAGAGCTGGGTAACACTGAGATTTTTCCATATTGATTATTTTCTTTTTTTTTTTTTTTTTAAAGATTTTATTTATTTATTTGACAGAGAGAGAGACAGCGAGAGCAGGAACACAAGCAGGGGGAGTGGGAGAGTGAGAAGCAGGCTTCCTGCCAAGCAGGGAGCCCGATGTGGGACTCGATCCCAGGACCCTGGGATCATGACCTGAGCCGAAGGCAGACGCTTAACGACTGAGCCACCCAGGCGCCCCATATTGATTATTTTCTAAAGGAATTTTAGGTTAACCTTTATATGTATGACTTTCTTTGAAACTCTTTTCTTGCCCTTTTAAAGGCCAGGTAGCTCAGCTCTTCAGTTTTATCCTGGCTTTGTTATGTACCTAGGAAGTTCCCATTTGGGAAAATATGTAAGCGTCTTTTTTTTTTTTTTTTTATTTAAGTAATCTCTACACCCACCGTGGGGCTTGAACTCAACCCTGAGATCAAGAGTTTCATGCTCTTCTGACTGAGCCAGCCAAATGCACCATTTTTAAAATTTTTAGTTTTAATTTTTTTTTTTTTTCAAAGATTTTGTTTATTTGACAGAGAGAGCACAAGTGGGCAGAGTGGCAGGCAGAGGGGGATGGAGAAGCAGGCTCTCTGCTGAGCAGGGAGCCGGACCTGGGGCTCGATCCCAGGACCCCAGGATCATGACCTGAGCCGAAGGCAGCCACTAAACCGACCGAGCCACCTAGGCACCCCTGATGTGGCATTTTTTTTAAACAAATATCTGTCCCCTCTAGATTCATTTAGACTTTTTTTAAATTTTGATTGTTTGTTTACTTAAGTAAGCTCTTCACCCAACATGGGGCTTGAACTCACAACCCTGAGATCAATAGTCACATACTCTACTGGCTAAGCCAGCCAGGGTGCCCCTCATTTAGATTTTTTTGGTTAACTTCTTTTCTTCCACTTTTTAAATGTTCGATTAAAAGAATTAAATGGGCATTTGACCAAAGAATGAGCTTTTTTACTCTTATTGGGGCATACATGATAAAATAATAATCTCAGTAAATTCATTTTGTCTTACAAGACTGCTTGATTGCTAGACTTAACTAGTTACCAATTTGTTTGACCAGGAATTACTCTTAATTCTGAGGAGAAACTGGAAGCACAATGGGAGATGACAGTGAGTGGATGAAATTGCCGGTTGATCAGAAATGTGAACACAAGGTAAGACTTTCCTGGAACTCAGATTTCAGTGTCATTGGCTTATTTTGTCAGCACTTTACACTCTATGGTACAGTGTAGAGCTGCCTGATGATTACACAATACAACTGAGAAACAACATGCTTTGGAGATTAGACAATAGTATGATTTCTCATTTTTTAAAAAAGATTTTATTTATTTGAAAGAGAGAGAGCGTGTGTGCTCAAGTGAGTGATGGGAGGTGCAGAGGGAGAGAGAGGGGAGAATCTCAAGCAGATTCCTTGCTGATCGCAGAGCCTGACGTGGGGCTTGATCTCACAACCCCAAGATCATGACCTGAGCTGAAATCAGGAGTCACATGGCCGCTTAACTGCCTGAGCCAGCTGGGTGCCCCTGATACCTCATTTTTGAATCATTACATCTTTGATTATAAGTTGCATCTTTAATTGTAAGTTACATATTACAAAAAAGGAAATGCTAATACTTGGATACAAAGTGAGATATGTTTATAGTGTTAGGAATTCTAGATGGCCTTGGAAGAATATCGCAAATATTAAACACTTACAAGAAAAAGTTTATAAGCTAATCTTCTTTGAAAACTCTTAAACTTTTTTGTTCTAATTATGGGGTCCTTTATTCAAATTACCTGGTATAGGGTAGTCATCTCCCCATCCCCAATTAACAGTAGATAATAATATCATTAAATTGTGTTTTGTTTCAAAATACTTTTCTTTTAGCTCTGGAAAGCAAGGTTAAGTGGGTATGAAGAGGCCCTGAAGATCTTCCAGAAAATAAAGGATGAAAAGAGCCCAGAATGGTCCAAATTTTTAGGACTGATCAAAAAATTTGTGACTGATTCCAATGCAGTGGTTCAGTTGAAAGGATTAGAAGCTGCACTTGTTTATGTTGAAAATGCCCATGTAGCAGGAAAGTAAGTTGTTTCCTTCCAACTATTCTGGTAAAACCCTTGTCTGGTGCTGCATCGATTAATTTGTGTATATTTATGGATCGCTGTCCTTAGTTATTAGCACTTTTAGAAGATATTAATTTTCTTACTTTCATAGCTCCTTGGTACTTGTTTTTCATTTGGTTCTTATCTACTCTCAGAAATCTAAATGGTACATGAGATCTCTAAAGAGGAGCAAATTAGAAACGAAATCTTGAAAACCGTGCCTTAAGGTTTGATGAGCAAGTGAGTTTCCTTTTGAGCCTTTTGTGTGGGAATTAACTTTAAACCAGAGGGAAAACCTCTAGTAACTTTTAGAAGAAACTTGAGGGTGTTAGCAAAGGAATTATCAGAATTCCAGTGGAAAGCATTTGGGTATTACAAAAATCTCTTTCTACAAGGCTTCCCAGTAAGGTGATCTGAGAAACACATCTTTCTCTCTGTGGTGATTAGGCATTTTTATCTCTTAGGAGAGATGTTGCTAACTAAACAACCTCTGTGACTCCTGGCCAGTTTGACTTGAGCTGCAGATGATCCAGGTTTCTAATCACCCACTCTCCCATACCTCAGAAACCTGGTTTTCTAATGCTGGTCTTGATGTCATTGAAAGGAGCCCTCCATAAAAAAAAGGGGGGGGAACCCTCAACTTAATTGCACAAGAAAATACATACTTGACTTACTTCAAAGATTATACCAATAAAGATAATCATTAACCTGACAGTTTTGTTACCAGCATCACTGAGTTTCCCTTGTCATTAGTGAGAACATTGCTTTATTTTATTTTATTTTATTTTTTTAAAGATTTTATTTATTTATTTGACAGACACAGCGAGAGGGGGAACACAAGCAGGGGGAGTGGCAGAGGGAGAAGCAGGCTTCCCGCCGAGCAGGGAGCCCAATGCGGGGCTCGATCCCAGGACCTCGGGATCACGACTTGAGCCAAAGGCAGACGCCTAACGACTGAGCCACCTAGGCCCCTGAGAACATTGCTTTTTTTTTTAAATTGCATTTTTCTTCTGATACCATAAACTTTTTTGACAAATACATGTAGTCCCAACCCACTCAATTCCTCTGATTTCCAATGGTACAGGTTTTATTTAATTTAGAAGAGACTCCAAGTAGTACAGTTACTGTAAAATCTTGCCAGGGAATCAGGAGCAGCCTTTTGTTATTAAAGGTACATACCCATTCCCTCCGTGAAGAAATTCTCTTATTCCAAGAAATGTTTAAAATGACCTTTTAAAAATTTTTCAAAAAAGCAAGAACTCTGTAATCCTATTTTTTTAAATATATCTGTATGTATATCTATGTATCTGTCCATGCATATAGAGAGATAAATCTGGAAGGATGGATACGAAATAGTTGAAAGTAGTTTTCTCTGGGTAATGGGATGTCAAGGGATTTTTGCTTTCTTATTTGAATTTTCTACATTTATAAAGAGAAAATATGGTTCTGTGTCATTGCCTGGTGTGACATGTCTTATACTTTTATTTGCATAAGTTTGTCTTTCATGTCTTTCTTGAACATAAAAAATTAGAGACTCATTTACTTTATTTCTGAGCATTTTAAAAAGTATTTGTCGTGTTTCCCCCTCCCCCCCATGACCTTTTCCAGCTCTTTCTACTAAAGTGTGTTTTGTGTGTGGTGGTGGTTGTTTGTACTCTATATTACAGAACCACAGGTGAAGTTGTATCGGGTGTCGTAAGTAAAGTGTTCAACCAACCCAAAGCCAAAGCCAAGGAGCTAGGCATTGAGATTTGTCTAATGTACATAGAGATTGAGAAAGGAGAGGCTGTGCAAGAAGAGCTCCTAAAAGGCCTGGACAACAAGAACCCCAAGATTGTAGTGGCCTGCATAGAGACACTGAGGAAAGCCTTAAGGTAAGACTTGTTGCTTTAGTTTTGTGAACTAGAATATCTCAGTTGAATTTGAGTTCCTGGCTTAAACAGAAATGAAAACTGCTGGACTGGACTTGGCGTGCCACACTAACCAGGAAAATTGACCTGGGAAAGCTAGTCATTCCTCAAGTGTGGCGCTTTCTATTCAGTGATTTTAGCCTTCAACTGGTGTTACATAGTTATTTTTTCTAAATCCCCTTCTAATGAAGATGAGCAGGGGAGATTTCTGACCTGTTTTCAAATTAGGAATTGGCTTTTTCGTGGAAAAGCACTCCTCAGGATATTTAAGCAGTCCTCTTGTTATCCTCAAGCATATTTATGTACTTTGAAATGTTGGCTAAAGACTGTTTATTTACTGAAGCAGACCTTTGTTTAGATGCCTTTTTAGTAAAGTAGAAGTAAATACTATATGCCTTTAAACAGAAGCACAGCAATAGCAAATAGAAAATAACTTTTACTCTTATGAAGTAAGTTATTTTCAGTGCTAGAATTTCTTGTTGTTTGGCAGTGAAGTTTTTCATGAATGAGATCTTTTTCAGGAACAAGTGGCTGTAATTTGGTATGGAAATCTGAATTAGACGAACCCCTAGTTTGTTCTGATTTGGCAGTCCTTCTAATCTGATATCCTGTCCCCATTACTATCCACATGAGAAACTTTACAAAGCAGCTCTAGTGAAATCCTAAATGTGTGGCCTATGGCAGTGACAATCATCCCAACTCAGCTCGCTTGCAATTTTGTGTATGACCTACTTCTTAGAGAAAATGCTTCCTTTGGTGTTTATCTTACATGGAAATATCAAAATTCCTAAATTTTGTTAAATGATCCTCAATTTATAAGTCTTAAACTTTTACATTGTCTTTCGCTTGGTTCATAAAGTTCTTTTATAAAATTTATAAAATTTGACTTTCACTTAGATTCTTGTGTAATAAATTTTTCCTCATTTCAAGCCTAGTATAGTATAGTAGGTGTGTTCTTATGAGTAGTAGTTTTTATGAGTAGTGTGCTCAATCTATCATCTTAGAAATTTATTGAATTAACTTGGTTATCAAGACTATGCTTGTCTCGGGGTGCCTGGCTGGCTCAGTTGGTGGAGCATACGACTCTTGATCTTGGGGTTGGGGCTACTTAAAAATAAAATCTAAAAAAAATTTAAAGACTGTGCTTATCTCCGTAGATATGTTCGGTCCTTAGTAATGGATCTCTCTCTCTTCTTTTTTTTTTTTAAAAGATTTTATTTATCTGACAGACAGCTAGAAAGGGAACCCAAGCAGGGGAGGTAGGAGAGGGAGAAGCAGGCTGAGCAGGGAGCCCAATGTGGGGCTCGATCCCGGACTCCAGGATCATGACCTGAGCCGAAGGCAGACGCTAAACAACTGAGCCACCCAGGCACCCCAGTAATGGATCTCTTAATAAAAACATGTGTTATGCTATAATCAGCCTTTAAAGATTTTATTTATTTGAGAGAGAGAGCATGAGCAGGGGGAGGGGTAAAGGGAGAAGGAGAAGACGACTTCCCGCTGAGCAGGGAGCCCAACTCGGGGCTCAATCCCAGGACCCTGAGATCATGAGCCAAAGGCAGAGGCAGATGCTTAACTGACTGAGCCACCCAGGCACCCCCATATGTGGTTTTCTATAGTAATATGTTTAGTATCAATATGAGGTTTTGTTTTGTTAATCTGTTTTCCATGTGGACCTATTCTGTAGGTTTTTCTTACATCTTTCGGTAGGCCCGGATAGTGAAACAAAAAAATCAGATGAAACAAATCTGGTAATGTAAAGGAAGACTCCTGAGATCCCAGATGTTAGGTTCTTCAGGCACAGTGCTGAGTGCCCTGTTTCATAACCCTAAGTTCTTATTTTTCCTATAGTCTTAAAGGTCAACTGAGCCAAGTTAAAATGTTCTTTTCTATTAAAATAAAGAGTATTTTAAAGGAAATCTTGGAGATCATCTTATTTTCATGTTATGATATCTATATTTAAAATATTTACATACCACATATCTTTTTAAATATCATTTCTGAAGGAGAGTATTTTCTGTCTCCTCTAACCTTTTGGCATATGTCAGTAGCTATTACTAAAAATTTTTGTTGCATTTGTGTACAGGAGATAAATTTATACACATTAGATAAATAAATAATAGATAAATGAGTTGACCCTTGAACAACACCGGGGTTATGGGAGCCAGCCCCCATGCAGTCAAAAATCTGTGTATAAATTTTGACTTCCCCAAAACCGAACTACCAGTAGCCTACTGTTGACTGGAAGCCTTAGAGATAACAAACAGTCGATTAACATATTTTGTATATTATCTCTATTATATACTGTATCCTTATATATAGCAAAGTAAGCTAGAGAGAAGAAAATGTTATTAAAATCAAAGGAAGAGAAAAGACATTTATAGTACTGTGCTATAAAACATCCATGTTTGAGTGGACCCACACAATTTGAACCTGTGATGTTCAAGGGTCAACTGTATATGAGTTCTACTACAAAAATGTCAGTGTTGTTTCATAACTGAATCCCTCTTGCTCCTGAATTTGTTATGCAGAAATGTTAGCAGTGACTCAGAAAGCTAAATTTGGCCAGTTAGGAAACTTAAAAATATAAAATGTGGCAAATATATAAGGTTAAATGTGCTACCTTTTTGAAAGAAGTCAGAATGCAACTGTTTTCCCCATGAAAAACTGAAGCAAAGAGAGATTTAGGTTGCCTGGAGTTGTAGGTGATAAGCTTTGACGTCAGGAATGAAACATGCTGCCAGGATTAGTGATCTGTCAAGTTGAGTGAACTACCTTAATTGTAAGAACTATTAAAAACTTACTGCAAGTAGGGGCGCCTGGGTGGCTCAGTCATTAAGCATCTGCCTTTGGCTCAGGTCATGATCCCAGGGTCCTGGGATCAAGCCCCGCATCGGGCTCCCTGCTCCACAGGAAGCCTGCGTCTCCCTCTGCCCGTCCCCCTGCTTGTGTTCCCTCTCTCACTGTGTCTCTCTCTGTCAAATAAATAAATAAAATCTTTAAAAAAAAAAAACAACTTACTGCAAGTAGATTTCACTCATCTAAATATGTATAAACTGATTTATGTTTTTAAGCTTTTATATGTATATACATATATATTTAAGATGTTACACAAGTTTGGTCCTTTATAGATTTGAATTATCCCTAATCTGGTTACCTGCAAGGTTAGTTTTAAGATTTTTATATTCTGGACCCTAGACATTAAATAACACACTTAGGGCGCCTGGGTGGCTCAGTTGGTTAAGCGACTGCCTTCGGCTCAGGTCATGATCCTGGAGTCCCGGGATCGAGTCCCGCATCGGGCTCCCTGCTTGGCAGGGAGTCTGCTTCTCCCTCTGACCCTCCCCCCTCTCATGTGCTCTCTCTCTCAAATAAATAAATAAAATCTTTAAAAAAAAAAAAATAACACTCCTAGAAGAGTGGTATCTAAACATAGATGTTAGGAACTCCTTTTTTTTTTCCTGCCTTAAAAAATCTCAACTATTAGTATATAATAAGTACAGAACTGCATTTGAGTGAATGAAAACTAACACTACCCAAATATATTGCATGTTGACAAGTTTGTTTTTTCCCCAATGTTTTACTTCTAGTGAATTTGGTTCCAAAATCATCTTGCTTAAGCCAATTATCAAAGTGTTGCCAAAACTCTTTGAGTCTCGAGAAAAAGCTGTTCGAGATGAAGCAAAACTAATTGCTGTGGAGATTTACAGATGGATTCGGGATGCTCTGAGACCCCCATTACAAAATATAAACTCTGTCCAGGTGAGGCACAAAGTTTTTTGGTTGTCTTTGCATAAGACTAATATGAAGGTATTTCTTTCCTGTTGTTGATATTCTGTCCTTACAAATAATTATTTTTGTTCTTAATTTTGAAATAATTTGATTTTTTTTTCTTCTGAGCATAGCTGTCTCTGATTTTATTTTGTCCTCTCAAGTTAAATACCATACACTCAGTGATTCCAGTATGTCAGTGTTGAGTCTATAGTAATTTAAAAGATCCCTTTATAATGCTGTTGGGTGGCAGGACTTAGTATCTGTTTGGACAACATGCATTTTATCTGTTTTTTATTACAGTTGGTTTTAGAGACTTTATCTGATACAAATATATCTGAATTCATGAACTAATGAGTGTCCTAAAAAGTGAATTTTATTCTTTTTTCTAAGTGCTTAGACATACATCTTCAGTAGTAAATATGTCAGTTTGATTTATGTTACCAAATGTATAATTTTTTTTTAATTTAAATTCAGTTAATTAACATATAATGTATTATTTGTTTCAGGGGTACAGGTCTGTGATTCATCAGTCTTATATAATACCCAGTGCTCATTACAACACATACCCTCCTCAATGTCCATCACCCGTTATCCCACCCCCCGACCCTTCTCCCCTCCAGCAACCCTCAGAAACCTCCCCTCCAGAAACCCTGTTTCCTAAGATTAAAAATCTCTTATGGTTTGTCTGCCTCTCTTGTTTCTTCTTTTTCATTTTTTCCAGTGTATACACTTTAAATGTATCTTTTCTTTTTGCCCTGTTAGAACCACATAAATAAGAAATTGGTTTCTGATGTTAGTAAACATAAATGTTAAGTATGTTCTCTAAGGATGAGGATGTAGGTATGTTTTTAAAAATATTTTATGATATTTGTAGTTGAAAGAACTAGAAGAAGAATGGGTCAAATTGCCAACAGGTACTCCTAAACCAAGTCGATTTCTGCGTTCCCAGCAAGAACTAGAAGCTAAATTGGAACAGCAACAGTCAGCTGGTGGCGATGCTGAGGGAGGTAAGCCAGTTTTAAACATTGGTTTCTATGAAAATTAGCAAGAACAGGCCCTACCTCAAGAACCTATGTTTACAGGGGCACCTGGGTGGCTCAGTCATTAAGCATCTGCCTTTGGCTCAGGTCATGATCCCGGGGTCCTGGGATCAAGCCCCCACATCAGGCTCCCTGCTCAGCAGGAAGCCTGCTTCTCCCTCTCCCACTCCCCCTGCTTGTGTTCCCTCTCTTGCTCTTTCTCTCTCAAATAAATAAATAAATAAAATCTTAAAAAAAAAACAAAACCTATGTTTACTAAGCACATTTTGTAGGACTGCCATTTAATACAATATCAGTTGTTTATAGCATTAATAACTAATTCCTTCTATATCAAGATTTCATCAGGGTGTGAAAGGAGTGATAACTATTTGATAAGTAAAAACCTTCCATCCATTTTTAAGGTTTGTTTTGTTTTTCTCCTGGAAGGTGGTGACGATGGTGATGAGGTGCCACAGATAGATGCTTATGAGCTTTTGGAAGCGGTAGAAATTCTTTCCAAACTTCCCAAAGACTTTTATGACAAAATTGTAAGTAATGGTGACCTTCTTTCATTTATTTCATTTTAAATAATTCCTTGATTATAATTAGATGTTCTGCTGAGCCCTTTTCCTGGTATACCCCTTTGCACCCCGTATCTTCCCTAGTAGAGTGAATCAGTTGCTTCTTTGTTCTCATACTGCTGTGTATGTATACCTACAATAGCAGTTTCTTTTAACACATCTTACCAAAACCCAGAACATTATTCCTGACTTCTTTTTCCTCATTGTCTCTCTGGTTTTACCTTTAAATAACTGTCAGATTCATCTTTTCTCCATCCCACTGCCACTGCTTTACCCCAGGGTTCCTTGACGTTGGCACTATTGACATTTTTTCCAGGTAATTCTTGGTTTTGGGGGACTCTCCTGTGCACCGTAGGATGTTTAGCAGCATCTCTAGCATTTACCCACCAGATATCAGTAATACCATTCCTCAAGTCTGATAACCAAAAATGTCTCCAGACTGTGCTAAGTGTACCCCAAGAGACACAGTTATCCCCAACGAAGAAACAGTCTTATCCCAACCACCACCATCATCTCTTGTCCCACATGCCATGGTAGTCTTCTTGTAAGACTCCCTGTCTCTGTTCTTGTCTCCTTCCCATCACATTTCCCAATATAATCAAAGCTGTGGTTTTTGAAAATAAAAATCTTCCCATATCACTGCCTCACTGAAATCCTTCCAGTGGCTTCCATGAGTTTAATGTGATGTCTGAAATCATCCTATAGCCATCGAGGCCACCTAAGGCACCTTTGAGGCCCCTGCTTACCTTGCAGCCTTACCTTCTGTAATTGCTCTCACTCCATGCCCCTGTCATCCTGAACTTCTTGTATCATACATGCCACACTCGCCGCCCCAACAAGCTCTGGACCTTAATATATGCTGTTCTTTCTGCCTATAACATTCTCCCAATTCACCCCATAATACTTCTTCATCCTCTACATCTCACCTTAAGGATCACTTTTTAGGGGAGATCCTACCTGTCAGCCTAAAGTAGATTAAGTCCTCTTGCTGTAATTCCAAAGCAGCCTGTACTTCTCTTCTCATAGTGGCCATGACCTAGTAGTTATTTATTGCAGATCTTCCTAGCTTTGCCAGCAAGCTGCTTCAGTCCTCCATTGACTTCGGATTAACAAATACTTGATAAATTAAATCGCACTGTGATCTTCCCCAGGGTGGCGAGTTTGTCGTCTTCGTTGTATCCCCAGTTCTTTCAAATAGTGGGTGTGCAAAATTTTTGAATGATTGCTTGATCTCTAGTGAAGTATTTTCTACTTTATGGCCATAAAACAGAACAATTGTACCACCAATGTCTAAAACTGATCTCTAAGATTAGAGCAGTTTTGGTGGTTGGTTATGTGATTGTCTTTTTCTGGTCTTTTTAATATTGTCAATATGGGAATTCCTTTCGCCTGTAGTTGTACCACTATGAGATATCCTAGAAACACTTTCTAGCAATGTTTCCTGTTTAATACTTGCTTACTAACATTTGCCTAGAAAATGAGAAGGAAGTCTATGGCATCCCGTTCTTTTACTTATAGAACTTTAGGGTTATGAAATGTTGTGAAAACACTTATGTATGGACAAAATTTTATATATATGAGCAAAACATTCTGATGGGCTGCACAGTTTTGCAGCTTTGTTTTTTAACCAGCTTTAGAAAAAAGTTTCTAAACAAAAAATAATGACATATCTTTGAATTAGGAATGCGAGAAATACTTTTATTTTTTTATTTTGCCTCCTAATTTCTGCCTACAAGTGACTCATTCCGTGCCTTGCAGGAGGCAAAAAAATGGCAAGAGAGGAAAGAAGCTCTGGAGGCTGTAGAAGTACTAGTGAAAAACCCCAAACTGGAAGCAGGCGATTATGCAGATTTAGTCAAAGCATTAAAGAAGGTAAGTGAGAAGAGTGTCAACACTGGTAAGCGGACAATAGGCCAGGCCTTTGAGTTTCTCGCCATACCCTTGTAAAGGATTGTTTAAAACGATTGTCCTAGGTTAGTTTGGAGGGATTGGTTTTCAGTCTTTGTTGATTATCATTTTGCTTTATGCTGTCTGGTAACATACACAAACCTCAAGAAAAAGAGGGGCTTGGTGATGTAGAACCAGATATTCTAGTTTTATTTATTTATTTATTTTTAAAGATTTTATTTATTTATTCATGAGAGAGAGGCAGAGGGAGAAGCAGGCTCCCAAGGAGCAGAGAGCC